ATAACTTACTAATTATTTGTCTTTATTATAAGGCTTGTTTTAATAAGGTATTTTATTTTATTTTTAGATACATGTGTTTTATATCTTATTATGCAGTTTATATTAGAAAATATGTTAGAAAATAGATATTGCATATCTATTATTATTTGCTGTGAGTAGGTTTTAAAAACTGCATTAATATTGAATTTTTACAAGAAAACTTATTATAGTTCGGAGGATGTCTTAGACAAAATTATGAATCATCTGATTTAGTTTTGTCTTTTTACTTCTTTCGTATTACACCTAATACTGAAAATTTTGACGTTTGCATAACATAAATAATTTATAATTCACAAAATTTATTTGTTAAAATAATTATAATAGGTTTATATCATGGCAGATGATAGCATACTATCAAATTATATATTCAGAAATCGCGAATACATTTTCTATCACTGTATATACATACGAACGTACTACTTAATTTTTAAGGGTTTATTTTTAATTCTTCATAAGCAAAGTAGAAATTCTATCCAAAATTGATTCATTAATTCGATTATTGTCGAGATACAAAGAAGTTAGAGTAGTATTATTGCAAAGAGATTTCTCCAATATTTTTCCATCCTCATCATTAAGTTCATTATCACAAAGATCTAAAGAAATCAAAGTGATATTTTTACAGAGTGCTTCTGCCAATGCCTTTGCCCCTTCGCAACCAATTTGATTGCAATCAAGAGCCAAAGATGTTAATGTAGCATTTTCTTCGAGAGCTTCTGCAAATGCCTTTCCTCCTTCAGAGCCAAGTTTATTATTCCAAAGACTTAGCAATATCAGAGTTTTATTTATACGAAGAGCTTTTGCCAATGCTTTTCCTCCTTCAGGGCCAAGTTTGTTATTATTAAGGATTAAGTGAGTCAAACTATTATTTTTGTAAAGTGATTTTGCTAACGCCTTCCCTCCTTCAAAGCCAAGGTTATTACTCCAAAGATCCAAATAAGTTAAAGCTGTGTTATTATAGAGTGCGTTTGCTAATGTAATTCCCACCTCAGGACCAAAACTATTTTCTCTAAGATACAAGAAAGCTAGGGTATTGTTTGTGCAAAGTGCATCTGCCAATGCTATTCCTCCTTTAGTATAAAGTTCATTATCACAAAGATCTAAGGTGGTTAAAGTTTTATTCTTACGAAGAACCTCCGCAAATGCCTTTCCACCTTCAATACCAAGTTGATTATTACCGAGATCTAAGGATAATAATGTAGAGTTCTTGCAGAGCGCTTCTGCTAATGCTTTTCCTCCTTCAAAACCAAGTTTATTACACCAAAGATCTAACAAAGTTAGAGATCTATTATCATAGAGAGCCTTTGCCAACTCTTTTCCTTCTTCAGAACCAAGTTGATTATTGTTTAGTCTCAAACGGGTCAAATTATTATTTTTACAAAGGGCTTTCGCTAATGCTTTTCCACCTTCAGGTCCAATACGATTATTCCAAAGATCTAAGATAGTTAAAGAAGCATTTTTATAAAGGACTTGTGCTAACGCATTTACTACTTCTGGTCCAAGCCAATTTTCTCTAAGATACAAGGAAGTCAGAGTAGAATTTTTATAAAGGGCTTCTATTAATGCTTTTCCCCCTTCGTTGTCAAGCTGGTTATTATAAAGATCCAAAGTGGTTAAGGTAGTATTCTTACAGAGAACTTCTGCTAATGCTTTTCCACCTTCAATACCAAGTTGATTATTACCAATATCCAAAGAACTTAATGTGCTTTTATTAAAAATTTTTGCGAATAAAAATTTCATTTCATTATAATTTATTCCACGAAAACTTAAAGATTTGAGTCTATTACATGATCGCAAAAGCATTGCAGTTAAAGAAGATCTAATGGCTTGAATAGCATTTATAGATTCTGAATCTTCTTTGGAATAATTAGTTAAATCACGAGGTCCACGTCCTTCATGATTAAGCCAACCCGAGATTCCACAGTCTGTAGTGATTTTGATAGAAATAATATAATTTGTGTATTCAAATAATGGTTTTGGATTATTGGGAAGTATTATTTCAAATGGTACTAATTGTGCCTGCTCTTCAAGATTCAATGCCAAAAGGCATGTTCTTATAAGTTTCCTTTTCTTAAAGGGAACTTCACACCATAATATTGGTACTACGTTTCTACACCATTGACGATCTACGAGAAGGCATGAAAACAAACTTTTATGACAACCTTTAAGGTTGATAAATATTTCCGAAAGACATTCATTTGGTAGTTTTTTCATTTTAAAAGAATAAAATGTTTACTTAGAGTTGAAGTAACTTAGAGTTGAAGCAACTTAGAGTTGAAGCGTTTGTTTTCGAATTTAGCTATTTACGTTGTTGTGCAAATAGCTACAACGAATTGTGTGACCTTGTTTACTTAACAATGACCATGTTGACAAAAAATTCACTTCATTGATAACGATAGATTTTGTGATTGATAAATTTGTGTACAAAGTCGGTGAAACATAGGGGTATTGCATTGTTAAAACCAAGTTTCATCCTTCGTCAAATGATATTTTAAAAAATGTAGTTTTTAATAAAAAATTATTACTAGATTTTGATACCAACTTTAAATTCTGGTTTTATTTTTAATCAAGTCTATTTTGGGTTTATTATTTGGTTATAGTTCTTAATAAAAATAGAAATAAAACAAAGACTAATATAAAACAAGTTAATGGATAATTCATCAGAAAGCGATACTAATTTTAATTTTTAAAATCTATAATATTTTTTTTTTGTAATAACTTTGAACGTTAATAAGTATTGTTTTGAGACTTTAAGTACAAAAATCATTTCATATGATGCTACTTTCAAGATCCTTATTTTTATACAATACAGTATTGGTTTAACCTAAATTATGGATGCTGCCTATTCATTTAAATATTATTAGTTAAAATTTATGAAAAATTATCAAATAATAACAATTATGCAAAAAAAAAGATACTAATAAAGTTAGAAAACAAAATCTGTACATATATTGTTTGAAACCTCTATATTTAAAATATAAAATAAATTTTTGCAGAATTTGTGCTTAAATAATTCAGCGTTTGATTTCAGTTAAAATAATTAGTCACGTTTAAAAAATATTCTTATTTACTTAACGTTAATTGTTTTTTTTTTTGATATTAACAATAATAAAATTTTTCGTAACCGATGTCTTAAATATCTAACCTTTTTTTATATTACCTTGTATTTAAGCATTTATATAACTTGTTAATACATATTTAAAATGCATTACGTTTCAATCGGTAACAACAAACAAATTAAAGCCATACATCACACAAAATTTTATCTCTGGACAATCTTTCTTATTTGGAATTTCAGAACTCCCACTTATTTTCGAAAAAAAATTAATTATGAAACCCCCTAACGCTAAGGCCACACAAATTTAATGTCTTGGTTTTCATAACGTTAAACTTTTAAACAGACCCACTCGGGCGGCTTTTTTTTTTTTAATTTCATATATAAAAATTTATAAATTTTTTTTTTTAAAAAAAACCCACCCGGTGTGGGACCCGGATGGGCCCGGATGGACCCTGACCGCTTGGGGCCATATCCCAAATAGGAAAAGATCGATCGCATCTGTCGCATTTGTCGCATCCGTCGTATGCGACCGATAGGTCGCATCAGTCGCATCGGTCGCATATGACGGATATGACGGATAGCAGCGATCGGTCAGAATGGGCTTTTAGGAAGCATCAGTCGCATGCATCGCAGAATGTAAATAGAAATAGATAATTATAAATAAAGGCCGAAAGGCCCTTCGGGAATAATAACTTCCCCTTAGCGAATACATAATACATAATACATTGCTTAAACACTCATAGTAACGTTGCTTGTAAACCGAGTATCTTTATTAAACAGTAATTGCCATTGCTATAATATATAATCTATCCCTAACCCGTAAGGTACAAAAAGTGTGTTCGCCTATCTTGAATAACCAACTCTGAACCCCCTACGATTAAGTAAACCCCATCCAAAATCTTGTTAACCACTCGCCAAATCTAACGCACCTCTTTCGACCGGAATTAACCTTCATAAGTGGTTACACGAGGAACCCGACCGATTAGCGACTGACTCGCCGTTTTACAATTACACCGTACTGAAATAAAATAAAACTCTTTAAGTTCAAAAAACCTTCGAAATAAGAGTATAAGTGCTTATCTCCATCTTATTAAACGTCTTATCGTATTTCTTGTCCCCGTGATATTTGTAAAACCCGTTACTTGTTAATAAGAAAAATAAAGAAAAAGAGTTTCGATTAACATGGCTTTGGTCATGTTTTCGGTGACTATGGCCAGGTCACATCACTCATCACAACATACATTCGTATATATTTATATATAACAATGATTAAGATCGTTATATCTCAAGTTCAGATATTCACTAATAAATCAAATCATATTATTTTTTCTCTTAAATTAATTACCAAAAATAGGGGACGTTTAAAGCCAGCATATTATGAAACTACCTGATTTTTCCAATTTTTAATTAGGATTAGATTAGGTTAGAAGGGTAGGAGAGTACAAATCTTATTAAAAACTGCTAGAGATTTACATGACAATTTCCACCCTGATTTTTTAACAGATGAGAATTTTATATCATTTATAATGACTATGATTCCAGTTAGGAAAAAACACTTCTGGAAAAAAATATTACATTATTTGAAAACTTTGTACACTGAAGATAATAAATCTATAGTAAAATTACGTTCTAACCCTTTTACTTAATGCATTGAAGAATTGAAACAAAAGTCCAACCTAGAGAGAAAAGAACCCCAAATTTTGATTGCTAAAGGCAAGAAATAGTTTTGTTTGACACCTTGTTTAAAGGCTAAAAATATGTTTAGCATATTAAATCAGTTAGGAAAAATTGATATTGGCAACGATTCGTTGCCAACGAGTTAAACATGGACCTAAATTAGTTCATCATTATTAACTGATGCTATTGCAAATTACTTCTGATGATGATTAAACTTTTGAGCCATTTGATGCTCAAGTAGATTGCCTAATTTAAATAATTTCAAAATCAATTTTGTTAATGCTATTAACAAAAGTTATTTACTACAGTAATCAAGGCGTTGACTTCCTGCGTAAAGCGGGTAGGCAATATTTTGAACAAAACAATAAAGAATTTGCATATGTTGTTCAAGGCACAGCAGTTTTGCAATTTTCTCTTCTCAAGATGCCTTTAAAGTAGGACAGATTTTTTCCAGTTTATAGAAAGACCTTATGGTCTTGTATATTATTATTTTATATTAAGTATTAACAATCCTACTTTATTAGAAAGGGTATTACATTTTGTATATTAACGAGGCTACAATTAGTCACACGTACAATTGTAGTTATTGTCTATTTAAAGGTTCCGCCCGCCTGTGTGTGCCCTATTTAAAGTTTCTGATTTTCAATACTTTTTCTGTAACACCATACTAATTTTAACATCTAGCAGAGCTTCGGGCTACTCACAAGATAAACTCTACTGAAACAGAGGTAGATTCCACTTCTATACATGTTTTTGAATTTTTGTGCTAGAGGTGCTCTGTGCTTGGTAAGGCCAATCCTTTTTTACAGGTTTTTCTTGTACTTGTCATTTTTCTCATCACGTATGATGCTTACACCTTAAAGGTTTATTTCCTTCTAGGAATTCCTAATCCAAACTTATATTTATCTGGACTTGTGTCACAAGGTTTGCATTCAATTATTAACTTTCCTAGATTATACAATATTTTCTGTCTTTATTCAGAGTTATTATAAACACAAATCTAATTATTATGTTTTACAAAATTCAAATTTATAATTAAAAAAAAATAATAATAAACTTATTCAAAAAATTACGCACTTGTCAAATGAATCAAATCCCAGAAGCACAAATCCAAAATCTTCAAAATCAAAAATTCAAATACATTTCTGAAATTCATTCTCTAGTTCAGTATTCAAACCAAATTACTAATACAAAATTCCAAAAAAAATAAAATTGTTATTTAAAATAAATAAGTATAACTTGTTATTAATTTTTTACAAGTAGGTTAAATGTCTTTATGTTCTATAATTGGATATATGAAATTGGTTTGCAAGTTTTTAATTAGAAAATTATCTAAAATTAGCTTGCAAAATTATGTTTACAAGTATGACATTAGAACATTTTTAACTTATTGTTAACAAGTAACAAATGTTTCTACATTCATAATTGTGATAGATGAATCTATTTGTGAATAAATAATAAATTTTGTCTTTTGCTATCAGTTCTGAATTAAAAATAAACAAGTACTTATTCTAATACTTTCTTAATTAAAAAAACATTACAAGATGCTAAGCTGTAAAAGAATGCAATCACAATTTGTCAAAGCGTTAGAGTATTTTTGTGAAGTGAAGGATGGTCTGCCCTTGAGCGATCGTTTAAATAGTGGGTAAAGGTAGATTCGAAAATAAATTTTCAGGAAAATAGCCTTTTTAACCTAGACATTATAGTATTTTATATACGCTTCATTATGGATTCAAAGTAAGTTTAATGCGTTTTTGCGAGAACTCAAATTTTGTAATAAATTTAACAACAATAATTCTCAATTATAGTAGGTTGATTTTAGGGCCTAAACAAACTCGGTCGATATGTTTTTTCGGATTCATATCAGGCAAGTTCATAAGATGTCAGTCTTTAACGACCACTATAAGTAGTAAGAACTTTTAAATTACTTCTGCGCGGAACTAGGAATAGCTTTAATATAGCCATTTCGGAAACTATGTGATAAGCAAGAAAATATTACACTATACGGGTCAAATTACTTGGTCAAAATCAGTGATAAAAATGGTGCCTGGATTATACCTCTTGAAGAATTTATTACTAGTAACAAATAGTTAGGGTTTAAAAATATTAAAGCACTTATTGATAGTGGATCTTCTACTTTCTTGATTTTAGATGATGCCGTTAGAAAATTAATGAAAGCATTCCAGGATCTATACATGAAAATGGCATTTATTATTTACATTGTAATGATCAAATATCTGTCGATATTATGATAATTTGGAGAATTGATTATAGAGTTCTTATCGATGTTAATGTACCAATTGTTCATGCATTTTTTTGTACGGCACTATCCAACTTAGAAATTTTAATTCGAACAATTGGATACTTGGTCTTTCTTTTTTAAGAGATGTGTATAGTATTTTTGAGCAAGATCAAAATGGAGTTGGGTTTGCATCTTTAAATATGAATGTTAATATAGTCAAACCTCTCTAAATGCAATGCGACGGGACCATATATAAAAATTTAGTCAAACGTGCACTTTGAGGTGTTGCATTTAGAGAGGTAAAATCTATAGATGTAATATTATTTGGGCCTAAGAGAAGAATGCATTTAGGGAGGTGTTTCATAGGACGTGCGCTTAGGGTGCATTTAGGGGTCTGACTGTAGTTAAATATATATGTTTATGACGTTTTTAAATAACCTTTGATTATTTTTAAATTTGACTTAGTGAATTTAAAATTTATATCGATTAAAATGTAACGTACATCAAATCTAATGCAAGTTATAAAGTATTTTTCTAAAGAAAACTAATGGCTTTAATTGTTTCTTCACAACATGGTTTCGAATACTTTATTAGTTTTTCCATTTTTTTTTTTTTTTTTTTTTTACTTCGAACTAGAAAATGAAAGATGCATAATAGATAATTCAAAATATTATCGCTGTATGGCTGTTTTACAAAATCCACAAGTTAGTATGAAAATCCGGTTTTAAATATTTAATTCTTAATACTTCAAAATTGATTTATCGAATATTTAATGTTCAATCGGATAAATATAACCATGCCATTCAAATTTACCTTATTGAAGATTTTTAAGAAATGTTGGTACTGTAATGAATTGAGTTTATGTAATTTTCATCTAATCAAATTAGTATCGTGGTTGTTAAAGTCTCGCATGAGGCAGTGTGCCTCTTATGTCATAGGGTAGGTTCCAAAATGTGTTCTCTTTCACATTGCTCGCATGTATAAAAAGTGAAAACGAGAGAATTCGTGTCCATCATAAAGTAACAATAGCCATAATGATTTTCAATCATTAAGTTCACACCATCATTAAGTCTCCCTCATATTATAACCTTGTATCATTCAATCCACATAACTTCTAGTGGCGGTTGGAGCTACACTGTGCATTCATTATGCGTCGCTCTCTCAACCAACCATTACAGTACCCAACAAAACAACAAAACTCGACCCGTGGACCGATAGCGTAGTGGTTACGCTCTCTGGTTCCAATGACAAGGTCGCCGGTTCGAGTCATGCTGGAGGGCAACAACGTGCCAGGATCACGATTAAGACGACAAATAAGAATACCTCCGGTGAAATTCCGGGCGAAATTTAGGATTCTCCAGAAAAGGAAAACTTTCGATGAAATTCCGGTTATATTAGAATACCTCTGGTGAAATTCTGGTTTTAAAATCAAGATACTACTAGTGAATTCCAGTTGCAACCAATTTGACAGACGATTATAATTGTTAATTGGATGGATAGAAAATATATAATCAATTAACTCATGTAATTCTTTAAATGTAGGGAATCTTACAAATTTAGAAGGCCTTATGGCGACCATGCCAGGGGTTAAGATAGAAAACAAAAACCCTAAGTAGAAATGCATGCACAGAAATCTAATTTCAGGTGCTATTTTAGATATCGTAACTTCAGATTGGTATAGACCAATCTCAAATTATTTTATCGACTGTCATTTCGTTGATAATGTTTGATATATTGTTTGTGTTGGCTTGAGGTAGATTGTCGACAAATATTACAAAAACCTTAACTATGTACATACATAGCTACGACTTAATGAAGTATTATCTGAAAAAATTGCGATTATCATGTTCCTTGTGATTATTTTTTTATGGATAAGAAACAATCTATATTAATATTTTAGCAATGTGACGATTTGATTGTCTACTTTCTACATTTTGTAATTTCAATGGTGGGTACGTTTATTATTATGGTACTGTAAATGATTTAATAGTGAGTGGTTAGCGATTTGCAACGATTGGTGTTAATTATTTAGTAATGTGATTTCAACAGTAAGTGGTGGTGCCAATATTAATGGTAGGTAGGTTAATAATTTCAACTATGTGTGAATTGGTGATTTTAACAGTGAACGTGTTAGTGATTTCAAAAGTGGGTTAGTGATTTAAACACTGAGTAAGTTTACTGTTTCAACAGTAGATTAAGTAGTACCTTTAACATTGGCCGATTAATTTAGTGAAAGTAGATTCGAAGTTTAAATAATAAGTCAATGAGTGCTTACAATACATGTCATAGAAAGTTTTTCGTCATTGATTTTAAATAAATTTCATAGTGTTTTCAATTCAAGTAATGGATAGGTTAAAGATTTCAACAGTGAGTGGATTAAGGAATTTTGTAGTGTAAGTTCGTGATTTTAGCAGCGATTTCAACGGTGAGTATTCGGTGATTTTAATAGTGGGTGAAAAATATGCAAGTTGTGATAAATTTTTACAGAAAGTAAATAAGATAACTGAGTTTATTTATCGTGATTTACAATTTCAATATAAACAAAAAGTTATAATTATTATTTTTTAAATTAGCCACATGATATCTTAATACCCACAATCAAAAAGACATTATTTATTGTTTTCGTATCTAAATATTTAAATAAGTCATACGGAAAATGCGACCTGGATATCCATTAGTTTGAAATATTAAACATTTTAACAAAAGTATTATGAAGAATCTGGAAAATGGCCGCAATACACAAATGGCAGCATGCTCGTCAACATAGTATAGACATTTCCAAAGTTTTAGAAAATTTAGAAATTATTTCAAGGATTTAACAGCTGTACTAAGGTTTCACCTTTTTTGTCTGGAGGTTTTGCCTTTTGCAAGTGATTTTCCATTTCGCCAGTGATTTGCCATTTCGACAGGGTTCAGCAATTTCGCCAGAGTTTAGCCGTTTCGCCAAGGGGTTTCGTCTTTCTCCATTTGAGCGTCATAGGCAGCAGTTCGTCTAATTGGCTAATAAATTCAATTTAATTTTACATAATTTATATAGTTTAGAATACTTTTTTAAAAAAACGAAAACCAACCATAATAAAGTAAAAAAAAAAAAAACTATATAGAAGGCTTCATTAGCTCTGAGGACTCCATGGTCAAAAATAAGATCTAATTCTCATTCGTTTAAAAAAATTAGCTTAGTAATAAGCTGATTTTATCGGATTTTGAGAAGTTATTACTATACTAACTTTTTTAAACGGATGAATATTAGATCTTACAGCTCTAAAGAAACTTTCTAAATTGAATTTATTAGCCAGTCAGACAAACTTCTGCCTATGAATTTGAGCGCCAAACAACTGTAATTCTAGCTATAAGAAGCATCGGCCATGAAAGTAATACGAGACAGTCAAGGTGATCTCAATTCTCATAATTCATTTTTATATGAAAATATGAATTTTTTTGTCATGATATTTTGGCACGAGATTACGTAATCATTTGTGCGGAAAAAACTTCACAGGACATATACGATACATAACAGAAACTTTTTCATCTACTGCCCAATATTGTACATTTATTATTCCAAAACACGTTCAATATGAGGCATTTTTAATAAAGCCACCAAAAAATATTGGAATCTTAAGTCAAATAAATTTATGGAAACTATCAACCATTTTTTATGAATACTAAAGATTTTGATAAATTTTCGTTAGATATCTTAGATAAGCATAGTTTATAAAAAATCAATGTAATATAGATATAGATATGGATATGGAAATACGTATTTCTAAATATGAAAGTTATTACAGTAAAATAAAGCACACAAATCACTCCTGTTTACAACTGAAGCGGTTTATACGTTTCATCATAATTTGTAGTACTCCCTTAGCAATACTAAGTAAAAAGAAAGCGTTTACTAATATCCAAATCTGCTGAAAATGGTTATTTTAATAAACATTATAAGAACGAAAATGGCATAGTCTCATGATGAAATAAAAAACATTTAAAACATTTAATTATTCAAAGGTGTTTAAAACGAGTACGGTATCACCGAGTAAAAAAATAGGTAAAGATTCCAATGGACAATTTAACATCGGCTACTGCTATAATCAAAACGAGCTGCATTTCTAAAGATGAAAAAGAAGCATTTGGATAACGACTAAATATTGGGAATTGTTACCAAAATTACGTATATATGCGTTATGCATCTTAAAAAAAATATTATTTAGAACAATCTACTAAAGGTGAAGATTTAATAAGACAAGGAATTCGATTGGTATTTAAAATCCGCTGAACGTGAAAATTTGATAGATCATCCTGTGCCAAAGTTTGCTGCAAAATCTTGTAATGAGTCAGCGTTAGAATTTGTAGATAGATTCTGAAGTTGAAAGGAAAACATCTAACGTAAGGTTATAGAATGCATTACTGAAATACGTAGGTTTTTCCGAAGACAAAAATATTTAATATCAGTTTCATCACAACCAGCTTTTTCATATTTAGCCAGCAGTCTTTTTTCAACTATGTGCAACACTCCTGAGATCGGGGTTTTCACCAGTACTGTAATTTTTATGTGCGCCCTACATATAAGCAATTCTTGTTAGCGTTAGTACATACTTATTTTAGAAAAAATAAGGAGCCAATGTTATCTTTTCGATCAAACAGGAAAATACTAGCACGTGTAGTATTTTAGGTTTGATAATACATAACACTTGTGTCAGATTATTTACTATTAACGTCTAATTGTTAATTTCGTGCGACCGAATTCATGTAACACAAAGACTGATACCAAATTTAATTACCGTGATTAAAGCTTCCATTGGAAAATAGGGATTAACGATGGTTTACTCTTATCAACCCTTAACGATATCATCTTATATTTCGCTGGTATTTTTCCTATTGGCAATAGCTTTTGTGGTGTTCCCCTTATCCATTGAAATCCCTTATTCTGACCGTCTTCCGGTAATTCCAATAATACATCCAAAACATGGCCAAAAAATAAAAATTCGGATAAATCTAGCGACATCTCCGCTAATTGCTATAGTGATATTATTAGCTACAAAAAGTATCGAATTTCAAGTAGTGGTAAATGGGTTTTTAGGAGACCAGGGGATTCAACCGTATAGTATAATGATTTTATTTTTTGCTTTGGTGAGCCTACAATTCATTAAAATCCTATCATTAAAGAATTATGATCATTATTTTTTATTTCTAATATTGGTTCAAATTAAAAAGGCTTATATATGCATCTCGTTAGATGTAACTGGCTTTGTCGAATTTTGTGCTTATGGCTTCTCAAATAGGAGCGGAAACGATGGAAGAAAGCTATTCACTTATTTTTATATCTTGTTTAATCTGATGAGTGCTTTTACAAGTAATGATGTAGTTGTATTGACCGGAACTAGTAAGCATTCATTCATTAATTCAATATATATATATATATTATGATATATATTATAATGTTTATTCTTTTTAAAGGCTTTTATTTTTATTTATTTTTATTCAATAGTATTCTTAGTATATTTTGCAAAGTTATCCAAAATCAGGCCTCCAACTGCATTCTTGATTTCTGAATTTGTAGCTGCTAATATAGGTAACCATTTAAAATAATTCATTGTATTTGTCTCACTTCACTATTACAATATTTTAACCTTTTAATTTACTCAATTTATTTCTCATTAATTTAGCATCAATGACTCTTTACATAGGTAATCCTACAAATGTAATAGTCGCTCAAGCTTATGGAATTACATTCCTAACTTACAGCGCTTGGATGATTCTCCCAACCATCGTTTCCATGATCCTCGCTTACTTTGCGCTTTACACAATGTTTCGACGTTCAGGTTTAATACCAAATGAGGTACATACACAACGACGTAATCCTAAAGATGCTTTGAAAGATAAGAAAGGTGCGATATTTGGTGTGATTGTATTGGGTTGCTGTTTAATCACGTTGATGGGAACCAGTTTCACTTCCTTAAGTGTATGGATCGTTACATTACCTTTTGCTGCAATTATGTTAGTTAGAGATATTTGGTATGATTTGTCAAAAAAAGATATTGTTGAAATTCGAATTATTGAAGAGTCCGAGAAAAATAATGTGATATCTGAAAAAAGTATGGACTCTGAAAAAAAAATAGGTGAAGCAAATGAAAATAATGAAAGTAAAGTGTCTTTATCTTCAGACAAAAAAAAAGATGCGAATCTTAAAGGGAAAGATGTGGAAAGTGAACGGGTTATTGAAATTAAAGACAATAGTCTTGATGGAAATACTGGACTAGAGAAAGATATAACAAATGAAGATACATCATTAAACATTCTAAATATTCCATTTGTTTCACGAAGAAAAAGATCATCTGATATAGAACATTCTAATATTACACCGCGTAGCGTCTCGCCGTCAAGTCTAACTATTCAAAAGAAAAAATCACATTCAACAAAAGGATCGTTCGATTCGAACATTGTAAGACCAGAAATTGAGTTACCTTCAATCTATAAAGAAGTAATAATACCCGATTCTGATTATAATAATCATAATAATAATGATAGTTCAATGTTTAATGTAATTAAACATACACTACCAACAGTTTATTCTGTATTCGTAAGATTACCAGGAAATTTGTTGCCATTTACATTAGGGATGTTTATTTTAGTCGAAGGTAAAAAATAAAAAAAAACAACATTAATCGATATTATTCAATCATTTCATTTTAAATCTTTTAAACTATGTGTCTTTTTTTTCATAAGCATTATCAACACTAGGCTGGATTTCCAGATTCGCAAGTGCAATATCATATCTAACTCCCACGTATCCAGTCGCTGTCATCTCTATTGGTTTTATATCAATCATTCTCTGCAACCTGTTAAATAATTTGCCAATGACTGTATTACTAAGTAGAATATTACAGCATGAGAATTTTGCACAAGCACCACATGTAACACCCGCAATAAGACAAGGATGTATATACGCATTAATTATCGGAAGTAATATAGGTGCTTGTCTTACAATTGTAGGTGCTTTGGCTGGACTAATGTAAGTTTATACTAAAAAAAAAAAAATAGGAAAAGCAAAAATTTACCGAATTTTGAAATGTTAAAAAAAGCATAATATTTGAATCTAACTTTATTTCTTTAAACAGGTGGGATAAAATATTAAAAGATAAAGGTGAAAAAATTGGGTATTGGCAATTTGTGAGATGGAACCTTGGAGTTTTGCCGATAATTGCTGTTGGAGCATGTGGGGTTTTAATAATGGAGCTTTGGATTTATTATGATAAGTGGAATATGAATGATTAAATTTGATATAGAAATATTGATATTGTTTAGCTCTGCCAAAAAAATAATATATATTAATCGCGTAATTTAGTATTTAAGGACTATGTTCGGTTAACCGAATAGTATGAATAATATAAATGTAATATGATTTCTAAATAATTTTCAATATATTCCAAAATAGATAATTCTATACAATGATGTATTTATATCATTGCAGCGCTGATGAAAAAACTATTATCACCATATTCCTCTGGATATATACTCGGAAATTGTCATTTTTTTAATCACTTTATTGATAATCTCACCAAGCAAGCCATCCCTCAAACTTCTAATAAAGTTATGTAGACAATGATAGACACTAAATTGATCCAATTGATCGAGAAAATTAACATTTATAGTCTCTCCATTATACAGTATTTATCTAAGTTCTTTGTGGATCATAATATACATTCATGAAACCTTAAATTCCCATTTCTCATAATTTACTGTTTCAATTTTTAATGTCTTTATTACCGTTATAACCGAAAGGACATTTACGTAACTTTTGTTAGAAGTTTGATGAAAGCTTGCTTAATGAAAACCTTTTATTACAATTATTTACATACTTAATATTAGTATTACATACTACATTCTTATTTATGTTGCAGGTATAGTTGATTAACATTTACCTCATTTACTTAATCATGGCAAACTGTTAAAACTTAGTGTTTGCAATCATTTTATTTTTCATTTTTAAAACCGACTAAATCAAGTTCCAAACTCTAAGTTAAACAAAACTTATAAAATTTTATGGACTTTCACATAATGTTTAATATATTATGCAGTATATTATAAAATAATATATTTTATATTGAATAATACAATCTTAATGATGCAATGTTCTTCGTCTTTTTTATTGATTTACTATGTCAACTGGAATTTCAAAATTATTAGAAGCGGAAGTTACATTATATAGAAAAATATTAGTAAATAATATAATAGCTTTGATATAAATTATTATAATGTACTGTATGTTATAATCACTTATACCGTATATTCTAAGTTGGTCGCTTCTTTTTTTATAATATCGATCAACATCATGTGTATTGATAAAGTTGCGCGCGTATACAATGTCAGGATGTTCTTGCAAGGTTATTGAAAGTTCATGAATTCTCATATCAGCTTCCATAAATTCACTAATTATTTGTTGTTTTTCACCAGAGTCGTCAGACTCACCAAGTTCATTGGATTCATAAAATTCATCAAATTCATCAGGTTCATCGGATTCATCAAACTCATCAAATTCACCAGATTCATCAAACTCATCAAATTCACCAGATTCATCAGATCTATCGAATTCATCAAACTCATCAACTTTGCCGGATTCATCAGGTTGATTTATAAGGTTATGCCATTCAGAAAGTTTAAAATGAATTGATTTAGCAGTAAGTCGTTGTTGTGAATTTGAATGCATGCATAGTTCCGCCGACTCAGCATAGCACTTAGGGATTACTAAAGCGTAATCATCAGGTTTTTTTCCACTGCAAATTTCTAATGCAAGTTCAATATTAAATGAATGTCCATAAAATGGACGTATTACAATAGTCATCTCTGCCATAATAACACCAAAACATATATATCGGCCGTTGATATATACTCCTAATAAGACCTCAGGGGCAATAAAAGGCATGTCTCCATAAATTCCATCTTTTAAAATGTATTCTTTATTTTTTTGGAACAATCCCAAATCTGCAATATAGGACGTTAATAAGCCAAGCCATGATTCTTCTATACGTTGTAAGATATTACCGTAGTGAAAGTCACAATGTATATAACCTGCTTTGTGAGTTTTAATTAAATCTTTTTGAATCAATTAACATTGATAATTTATCTAGTAGACTAATCATGTCAGAAAAATAATGACCTTAGCGTCGCCCTGAAAAAATGGTAGCCGGACAGATTTGCCGAGTTACACAGAATTTCGTATACAAAATTTTGGTTGTTAAATAACCGAAAGTTCAAAAAAATGAATATGTAGTGCAAAATTTTTTTATAAATTATTATTCTTTGTTTAAGGTATAAAACCATTATTATTACAGAATTATCACTTCCAACAAATTAAATGCTGCTCAAATACATGCTTTTTTTATTATAATTCACAATTTTTGAGCTTTCTTTATAACACTATCCAAGATCGTTCTTAAATCCACATAACTTTCAAATATCATTAAAGTGCTGCCTTAAATACTACTACCATTTATTTCTACAATACTCATGTTTTATATATATATTTCATACCCAATGCATTGTATTTTTATTAAGAATTAATATATTTGTAACAACATGTTACACGTAACAACCTCGGATTAGCTAATAGTAGTTAGAGTTAGGGTTTGGGTTACACGAAGTTTTAGTTATTTTTATTGGTCGTACTAATTGAGTTGTTACAAATAAGCGCGTAACAGGTTGTTACAATTAGATTCGTCCTTTTATTAAAATCTTTTCAAGTTTTTGGCATTGTTACATGATTATTTAATGTCATAAAATTAGTATTTATTTTTTCTAATGATTTAAAGTTTGAATGAACATTTTTTAGTCATAAATGTTCTTTGAGTTTGTTGTGTAATTCTTCTAAAAACATTTTAGTTTACAAAATAACTGAAAATCAATAATATAAATTCTGTATTATAGAATATTTTTTTTTTTTGAAATGTCAAAGTAAAAACTTTATTAGGTAATAAGAAAAATTATATTAAAAATTTCTAAACTATATTTGTGTTACTTATTTTAAGACATCAAATATAACATTATATTTTTATTTCTATATAATACTATTATTAATTAGTTTAAATAAATTTTAAGTATAGAAAGATTGAAAGAAACCTAAGGTGATAGTTTTAATATTTAGTAAATACAATTAGTAAGTAAATAGCCTAAAAATAATCAGTTTTTAATAGATATAGTAGGGTCAATAGTAGATGTATTAGAGATATTAGATATTGATTAATGAGAAGAAACTAAAGAATAAATTTTTAAGTATTTAGATTTGTTAGTTATATTATGAGTTTTTTCCTATTATTATTAAAGTATATTATGTGATAGTCATATTTGTTGATGAAACCAATTAAAAAAAACATTTAATAAAGTTATAAAAAAAGGTAATATTACTTTATAAAGAAATATTTTAATACTATCATATAAGGATATAAGATAGAGGTTTTGAATAAGATTTAAAAAATAAAGATATAGTAATGTATTTGAATAATATAATAGTATAATATAAATTATGTTTGTAAATTCAATAAAGATATTTAATTGTTGAGTAATATTTATAATTAAGATTTAAAAAATTTGTTGAAGATTAAATTTTGTTTAAAATAAGATAAAAGATAATGTATATCTTTAATTGATTGATAGTAAATACAGTTTAAAGTAATATATAGTAGAGGATAGTATACATTAAGATTTTGCATAATTTATAAGTTGTTATTAATAATTTTTAATCAAAATAAATAAAAATTTTAATTATTATTAAGTGAATTAATAATATCAAAATTAATTGACTATTTAATAGAAAATAAATTTTGAAAAATTTAAGTTGTGACTAAAAAAAAAGTGATTAAATAGTTACAGTATTTTGTAGAAATCATCCAACTCATTCTGCTAATCTCTAATTTAGAAAAAATCAAAATTATAAAACTGAGAATATAATGAAAAGTAGTATAACAAGTACTTATTATAGTTTTAGGAAAAAGTCTTTAGTATCAGAAGCTATTATTGCTTTATTAGAATATAAAGGAAAATAAACTTTCCAAACAACAAATACAAAATTTCTTAAAATTTTTAACAAAATTTTAAAACTTTCAAGAATTTTCATATTTTTGAGAAAATTGGTGTTAATCTAGAAAAACAGAAGATCTTAGCACATGATTATATAATATAAACAAACAATAACAAATAAACCAAACACATTTTCAATTAGATAATTACTATTTTAGTTAGAATTTAACAAAATAATAAATAATAATATAACAAATAAGTGCATATAAATTGTTTAAACAAGAAATAATCTGATCTAAAATACAAACTAATAGATCAATGAATAAGATTCAAAAATCAGATATTATAGATTATATCAAAGAGCTAGATAACAGAAACTATAGATATATCAATAGCAAAATTTTAAATTATGTTCTAACAACACTCACAAAAAGCCTATGCAATATTGAGTATATTGCAAAAGATCTTGCACTAAGTGATCCAGGCCATATTATACCTGATAACTTATTGCTTTATTGTCAAATTCTTGAAGCTCTTTATTTAGCAGAACTAGAATGGTTAGAAGAAGATATCATAGACAAATAGATAACAAAGCTTAAAATAATAAATTAATATTTAGACTCTATTGAATATATCAAATGTAAGCAAAGAAAAAATTATTTAAAATGAAAAAAAAATAGAAGAAATAATTAGAGCCAAAAAAGTAAAAGAAACAAAGCCTGTAATCAGTAAAAAGATATGGCAAAAAGAAGTTAGCATAGGGAAAAAAATTAACCAAGATATTAACTCAAGTGCAAAACAAATAGAAATGGTTTTAGAAGACAACAAAACAAGTGATAAAAAGTGAAAAAAGCTAAAAGAAGGTGCTGAAGTACCAGTAAATGATATGCTTTATGATGTTATAAAGAATATTAAAATCATTAATAAAAGAATACAGAAAATAAAAAAAAAAAGAAAATAATAATGCAGAAACAATATTTATTAATACAATTGAACATAGCTAATAGTTACTAAGAAAAAGAATTTACAATAAAAAATACTCTTTTAAGGCAAATATGTTAGCTTATACATTACCAGGAGCTTCAAAAGAAGAAAAAGTCAAATATGTTAAGTGAATCATAGGAAAAAACTATTACATTAAAACAGTAAAAGAAGTTTTCAAAAAAAATAATAATTGGGTTGAAATCAATTTCAATTGTAAATATAGTAAAGATAAAGCAATGAATAAAATTAGAAAAAAAGAAGATGACTGGCTTAAACTTATCTCAGAAAAAAACAATAAACAGAAGAAAATTTCTGAACAACAATCTAGAAATAATAAAAAAAAAAGAAAAGAATAAATAAAACCAATAAGCTTAATAGAAGCAAATAAAATAGAAAAATCTAATGCAAATAAAAATGATACAGATTAATACAACTACTTCATGATTTAGGATCTGCTAGCAAACATCAATTTAGAAGAAATAAAACATATATGCAAAAACATTAGAAGTCTCAAATAATTCAGATCAAAAGATCTAAGTTAAAGCTTTTGTAGTAATTAAAATAGATTATCTTGCAGAAAAGAACATTTTATAATCATTATCAATCAGAATCTACAATTAGCAAGAGTAATCAAAGGTGATAAGGACTATAATCAATGTGATCACTAAAGTCAATTTACAACAAAGTTAAGAAACCTTCTAGCAAATGCATCAGAGGTGTTGCTTCTACACTGTCTAAAGAGCAGAAGAGCAAAATCAGTATATATATGAGTTTTTTGAGAAAAAGCAAGAGTAAAAAAGAAAAATTTCAGTAAGGACAAACAAAAGTACAGAAACACAAAAGATCTTGAGGTTGATATAAATGAAGAAGAATTTAGAAGCAATATAAAAACTAAGAAAACAAAGAACAAAAAAAAGAATAATACTCTTATAAGCTAGTTTAACCAAACAAAAGAGAATAATATTTCAGACCAAATACAAGAATTGTTACAAAAAATACTATTAAGATTAAATAGACTAGAAACACATTATATTTGCAATAATGCAAGTATAAGAAAAAAAATAAATCACTTCTGAAAGGTATCACAGTTGAATTAAAGAGCCAGGGTATAGAAGCAAGATCCTTTTCACTAAAAGCAAATACTAATTCAGAAGCAAATACAAGATAGCATCTATATTAACTAAGTAATAATTTAAAAGCTGAAAAAAGAATACTTAATAAAAATATCAAAAAAACTTCAAAAGGACAAAAAAAAAGTTAGAGATATAAACAGAACAAATAGTAAACAAAATAAAATAGAAAAGCAAATGCTAATAAAGAAAATCTATACAAAGAACAAAATTAACTTAAATATAACAATACACAATATTAACAGTTTCAAAAGAAATAATCAAAAAATAAAGATTCTACAAGAATGGTTAATTAATAATAAAATAGATATAATCAGTATAGCAAAAACAAATATCACAGGCAAAGAAGAGTTTTTTATATTAAGCAATTAGAGTAATTACAGAGGTTTTTGAGCAAACACAAATCCAATCAAAAAAAAGGAATCAGATGTAGGCATACTTATAAACAAACAATAAAAAAAACATTTTTTTTTTTTTTAAACTTAGGCAGCCTTGCCAATCATCTTTATTAAGATTCTTATATACATATTATACAAAGTTGGCTTAAATTTTGGTTCGACATCCCCCGGCTACTTCTATGAATGCCCAGGAGTGGTCTGCCATACAGGCCAGGTGATTATTCCTGGCCTGGGGCTATACCAAGCTAGCCAGTAAAACTCTGAAAAAAGGGTCTTACATTTCTATTTACAAAACTAAAAACTAAACTGAGCCATGTTTCCTGAATTTGGACCTTGTTCTTATCTTTTCCCTCCCTTATGGTTCAGTTTTGTTCATCTAAATTTATATTTTTTCCTTCTTTTTGTGTTTCTCTGCTTGAGCGGTTTTGCTTTCTGTTGATTTTTTTCTTTTTAATTGCAGTGTTAATTCCTATTAGTTTTTTCCAATCAGCGATACTATTACATCGTTTTTTCCATATGTTTTCGAAGAAACCATTCCATGCTACATTTGTGAAAACTGTTATAAAGATCTTGGTTTCCTTTAGAGATTGTGTAATATCTTGTACAGACTTTTTGGTTTTT